GCGTACAAGACCAAGAGAGGAAATGATGGAATTGGTTGGCCCCAGTTCTCTGTGTTATTTCTCAGGGTTCTCATGTCTTCCCTAAGAGAGCCATCAAACTACTGGGGGGTGAAAAATCCTCTTGTATGAGATGCCAAGCTGCCTGCAGCAGTGCATGATGGACATTTTTTTTTCTTTTTAAAACACACCAACAAAAAAATGTATTTGTAGATTGTGATAAAGTGTAAATAACTGAATTTTCAACCATGGTTTGAAGTCAGCTTTCAGGGCATTATGTCTTGTTTTGATGAAAAGAGATCACTCTATACCCCCCTTTTTAAAGGAAAATTATCGCAAGAGAATCAGGATGTGTAAAGCTAACATGCATCGCAAAAAACCAAAGGTAACCTAAATGTCTGATTTTAATAGCACATATTTCTCTTTTATATAAACTGTGACAGCAACTTGCATAAACAATTCTTTAGCTATTAATTTTAATGTAAAAACTTTGCAAAACTTGTTTAATAAAATAGCTGTAAAAAGAAAAAACATATGCTGCCGCATAAATTAGCCATAACTCTTAATAATCCTGCCCATCACAAGTGAACTGTAATGTAACCTGGGCACAAAGTCTGACATCTTAAATGACACATTGTAAAATTTCAATGACTGTAGATTAGAACTCCTGCTGCACCCCAAAGTAAATCTTTCTGTTCAGCTATTTTAAAATGTACAAGGATAAGCCCTGTAGGACCCCATATTGATATTCACAGTGAAATGTTACTTAAAATTCGAAAGTTGCATGTTTCTTTCCTGTAATGTATAAGCTGCATGCAGGATCTCTATCTTTATTTTGTATGTCTTTAAAACTTCCTTTTCAAAAAACACTGATCTCTTATTTCTCCATTTTCAGGTGATTGAAAACTGAGGCATTTCCTGGACTAGAATGGGTAATGAAGACCCAGGTATGTTAAGATGACTTTCTGTTAAGGATATGGGCCTTTTATCATAACTGAAATTTATGCAAGGAGATAGCCTTGAAGGTAGTCACATAGGCCATTTTTTTTTAATATTTATTTATTTATTTATTGTATCTGTGTGTGACCAGCTCAGCCCACCAGGGGGCGGGCTGGCTGGCATGTGGTGCTGGGGGATTGAACCATGGTCCCTTGTGCTTTGCTAAGCTTGTTTTAAGTAGGTGCTTTAGACCACTGAGCCATCTCACCAGCCCAAGGCCATTTTTTTCTATAGTCATTTGCACCAAATTTGTAACAAGGCCATATTTACATGTTAGTTTGTAGCCTATGAGTTTACTTCTAATGATTAATAAGACCAGATAGCTTCAACTTAAATATATTAAGTATCTCATTCTATCAATAACCCAATCAAACAATATTTCACTTGGAGTCCATTGGTTGCAAACAACAAAAATGGCTAATGTGAATAAAATAATTTATTAGGTGCTCTGATTTAACGTGAAGTCTAGAAAATCTGCCTTGGGAACTGTAAGACCTGTACAGGACTGGGACAGTAGTGGTAGACCACAGGAATGACCTTAAACAGGGACTGGCTGCTTGGTACTATTAGTGGAATAAGTAAACCCTTCATATATCTTCCTCTACCAAGATTCAGGTTCTAGGGAGGGAATGTCAGACTGGATTAACTTGAGTCATATGCTCAAATATTAGCAGTCCTCAATAATTCTTCAGAATGGGGTGTTACTGGGAAGAACATAAATTCCCAGCATCCAAAAAGTAATTACACACATTTTAAGGAAGAAACAGGCGTAATGAAATTAAGTAGCTTCCCAGGATCGCACAATTCCAATGGCTAATAAACCCAAATAGATCCACTCCCAAGGTGTGTGTGGGTGGGTGAGGAGGGGGGAGGGGAGTGTGTTTTACTAACAGTTTAGCCTAGGGATGCTCTCTGCCATAGAGCTACGTCCCTGGCCATTTATTTTGAGACAGAGCTTTGCTGAGTTGGCCTCAGACTTGGGATCTTTCTGCCTTACTCTTCAAAAGTAGCTGATAGGGGCCGAGGAGATGGCTCAGTAGAATAAGCGCTTGCCTGGCAAGCACAAGGACTTGAGTTCAATCCCCGGTTCCGCAAAAAAAAAAAAAAAAAGTAGCTGATATTACAGACATGTGCCACTTAACCAACCACAATATGACATCTTAACCTTACAGTGTACTGCCTTTTATCTAGGGCAGGGATTTTTCTCTACTTAGAAGAGCATTTGTATGAATATTGTGTAATAGAAATAACATGGAGCCTGAAAAAAATTTTAGTTGAGTTTATGAGCTGTCTTTAACTCATTTTACTTTCACATGTGGGTAAGAAAGATAGTGATAATGCAGACCTCACAGTGACTGGCATGCCGAAGTGGTTCTAAACTATAAAGGGATAAGGCTGACGGTAGAACTCAGTGATAGGGCGTATTTCTAGCATATGCAAAGTCCTGGGTTTGGTCCCCCACACTGCAGGAAGAATTAAAATATAGAAGGCCAACCAGTTTAGTGCTGTATACGTAAG